CCAGGTCCCCGCACGTCCAGGTCCCCCCACGTCCAGGTCCCCCCACGCGCAGGTGTCCAGCACGCTCAGGTCCCCCCACGTCCAGGTCCCCGCACGTCCAGGTCCCCCCACGCAGGTGCCCGATACGCACCCCCGGGAGGAGCGGCCCTCGGGAGCCCCGCGCGCACACGCCCCTCCCGGAGGAGGTCCCGAGCGCGACCCCGAGGAGCCAGGCCTGCACGCCGGCGGGCGCCCGGGAGGAAGGCTCCGGGCAGCTGCCGAGCCCGGCGGGATGGTTCCGCCTGTGCTTCTCTCCGCGGGACCCTGGACTGCCGGCCACACTGGGCGGTGACCCCGCCACGGCCACGGCGGCCACCCCCGCCCCCGCCCGTCCACTCCCCGGCCCGGCGCCCACCCCACGCCCAGCGCCCCTACCCGTCCAGGTGACCACGACTACGGCACTTCCGGGAGCATGTGCGTGCGGCGTGGTGACGTCGTTTGGTCACCCTGGGTGGGGTGGGGCGGGGCGTGCATGCTCGCTCCGCCCCCGGGAGCCCGATTGGTCCTCTAAACGGGAGGGAACCAGGGGCGGATTCGAACTCACAGAGGTGCTGCTCCTTAGGCACCAAGTTACAGACCCTGCCTCAAATTTAACACAGCCCTGTTCTGTTTTCATAAAACCAGAGGGTGGGGTGTCTGTTTCTCTCTCATTTAACTGCACCCACTCACATATGAAAGATGGGCCGTCTCCTCTCCACTTACTGCCTCCGAAAACTTGTAGGAGGATCACCTATGGGTCAATTCCAACTGGACGGTACACAACACATAACAGCATTATTAGGTTCCAGAGACCAAATTTTTAAAGTGCGAATGGAAGATGATCCCATCAGACCACAAAATGTGATGGCTGCATCATTCCCTAACCACCTAACGACATCATCCCATAACTGCTGATTGACAGCTAATATAATACTTAATCCTGAAATGTTGATCACTTTCCTCCAATGCTGGGCACCAAGCACTATGCTGAGGATTACCAGGTCTTTTCCACATTTTCTCACAGCTCTACACCATTAACAGAAAGTGATCAAATGTGCATTACCGGGAAGGAAGTCAAATTAAATACAGGAGGACAACACACAAATCCATGGGAATCTGCAAAACAATTACTAACATTAACAAATGGATTTGGGAAAGTGTCCGCACTCGAAATGTGGCCTGTAGGATTCTCCTGTCTCATGAGAATGTGAGTTGACAAGGGAAGGTTTCAGCACCAACCCCAAAGCAGCCCGAGGAGTGGAGGGTCCCCCCGGCCCCATGCCCTTGCACTAGGAATCCCAGGACACGAGAAAGCCTGATGGGGAGACCTGAGAAGAGAGAGACCTTCTCTTAAAGCCAGAACCCCCCATTTAGACTTGCAGCTTCCTGAACTGCAAAAGGATCAACTTATGTTTGTTAAAGCCACAACTTGTGGTATTTCTGTGACAGCAGAACTGAATGGCTGGCTAACTTCCTGATGGAAAAATAGGATAAATCTTGCCTCATGTGTTGCTGCCTGGCAGAAAACAGATAATTTGTAAGAATCTGAGGAAACAGGACTCACTCCCCACCCCCACTATTAGAGTCCATCTGAGATGGACATGTCCACGTACGTGACTGCATAAAATCCCATTTTACTTTAAAATTTGTTTTCTTCCTTGCTTTCAGCATGCCTTCAATTACCGAAAAGGAGAGCCAATAGCATAGTGGGTTAAGTGTTGGGCTCTTATCTGAAAGGTTGTCAACTGAAACCTATCAGTTGCTGCATGTTGAAAGTGGGACCGTCAGCTTCCATGAAAATGTATGACCCTAAGGAGGGTCACTATGGGTTAGAAGCAACTCTGTTGTACACATATACACATATGCATATATAGTTGACAAGAATTTGTTGTTGTGTATCATTGAATTGAAACTGATCCATAGCTGACCCTCCAGCAGTTTTGAGAGGCAGTAAATCACACAGGAGGAGGTTGCCTGTCTTTTTTCCCCACTAAGGCCCTGGTTGATTCAAACACCTTTGATTACCTGCTGGCTAGCAGTACAGACCCCTACCGTTAGGGTCCCTAGAAGTCCCTCAATTAAAATTTAGAACATTTAAAAAATATTATTAAAATTATTCAAGACATGCTTATGGATAAGTTTAACATGCACACAATTTGTACACGGAAACTACAAAACACTGCTGAGATAAATTACTGAAGAACTAAATCAATGGAGATAAATGTCACATTCGTGGATCACATGCCTCAATATTGCTAAGATGATAATTCTCACCAAGGCGATTTATAGCTTTTATGTCATCTCAAAGGGAATGAATTAATGATTTGAAAAATGTCCAAATATAGTCAGCTTCCATTTCTCAGCATGCCTTGTCAACAGCCTTGTCTTCTCTCCAACATTCCCATCTCCTGTCCATTCACAGCAGACATTTCATCTTTCTGTTGGCTCAGACTCCCAACAGCCTTTCTTTATTTCCCTTTGTTGTTATTATGTGCCATTGAGTTGCCTACGACTCATAGCAACCTGATGTACAACAGCCCTAAACTCTATCCTATCCTGTGCCAATCTCGCCATCTCCGACACACCTGCCCCCATTACCCCAGTCACTGAAGCAACCCATCTTATAGAAGGTCTTCCTCTCCTGCGCTAGCCTTTCACATTCTCGCTGGTCCCTGGAGCTGTGTCAGACACTACACAATCACCACATATGGCTACGTAGGAACTGGAGGGGTAAAATCGCTTTCAGTCTTAGTTTGCACACAGGTACAAAAATGGACTGGCTTTCCATACTACTTTCTGTTCTTGTCTAATTCAGTTGGCAAAGCTCAAAGGGTGCCTCACCTGTGGGTCTCACTCTTATCTGTGGAACTCTTCCTGAAAGCCCTCTCTCCTTGTACCACCTGAGCCCCTAATTAATGCTGATCCTACCTGTGAGTGGAAGCCCTTAATTGACAACAGAAGCAAAGCCAGCATGCAAACCTGGTAGTGTTTTACGATGCTGTTTTTGAGGCGCCGAGGTGTCCACACCACCCAGCAGCTCTCTCTGCACCCGCCTGTTCTCCAGCAGGTAGACCCACCTGAGCTCTTACGAGAACATCTCCAACATCAAATTTGATGAGTTAAATTGAAACAGAGCTCTCCAGCACTGAATTCCAACCATATGTTTATATCCTCATCTAAAATGCTACCTGACACTTAAAAAGGCTGTCAAACAATGCCTATCCAAATGATTCCATTATTAAAGCGTTTACACAGAAAAAGCAGGACAGAGACCCTTGGGCCATTTATGAGGAAATGGCTCCTGTAGGCAGGTGCCTGAGCTAGCCCCCACTCTACTGATGAAGGCAACAGGAGGGATTGCAGGGTCCTCTCCTCTCCACACACAATGTTTCCTCATACAGAGTCCCCCAAGGGGAAGATAAAAGGAGTCCCAGTGGACAGTGGTTAAGTAGTAGCTAAAGGTCTGAGTTCGAAGCTACCAGATGGTCCATGAAAAAAAGATGTGGCATCTGCTTCTGTAAAGGTTTGCAGCCTTGGGAAACGCTAAAGGGGGTTCTACTCTGCTGTGTAGGGTTACTATGAGTTGGATTCAATGCCTTAGTAGTGCGGTTTTGGTAAGAAAAATGAAAATTTACCTGCAATGGAACTGACAATCTCACAGGAGTCCCACAGGTTGCATTCTTTATTGTATAGTAGGTACGCAAACAATGAGGGCTCAAGACAGAAAGCGCCAGAATGCCTGGCAGGAACCATCAGAGCCAGGATATTATTCTTTAGCTAAATGGCTTTATATTATCTGATGGGGAAAGACAAAAAGTTAGATAGGGTCATTCAGAATTGTGTATCAGTCTATCTTTTGTAGATGTGCCAACATGAGGTTTGATAGCTGTCAGAACTGCTTTGAAAAGTCCTTTAGTGATGGTTTGAATGTTTGCCAGTGCTGGGTGCAAATCCCTCCAAGGTGCACGCTGGCCCCCTCTCACCTCACAGCGACCACATCTTCAGGCCTGGTCTTTATGTATCTCATAGCCACCGTGTGACTTCCAGGGTTCTGTCGTCTTCTGAGTCATCTAAGTTATGGTCATGTTCGTTTGAGACCGATTTGTTTCTACATATCAGAGTGATAAACGAAGGTGCTGATGGACCAGCTAAGCATCTAAGGCAACTGCGGTCCAGATTCCTGCTGCAGTAGTTTAAGAAATTGGAAAGACTAAAGGAAGGAGACCTTGAGCCAAAACAATAGGAAAGAAGAGCTATGTGGGAAGCCCCTCACCTCCCAGAACTTACAACGGTAATCAAAACAGCCTGAGACTGGCACAATGATCTCACATCCACCAACAGAAAAGAACTGAGAACCCACAGGTAAATCCATCAAGCTGACCTTGGACAAATGGTCAAAGTCTATTCATGGAGAAGAGACAGCCTCTTTGACAAATGATATAAGCAGAATTAATACTCATTTGTAGATATATGAAATGGGTGCCATATCTTGTCACCTGCAAAAACCTAATGAAAAATGGATTAAAGACTTAAACGTCAGAGCAAACCTATTATGTTGTTGGAAGAGAGTATAGGGAGAAAGCTAGGAGATCTTATTTTACGGTATAAATATATTGTCAAACATAGCAGAAAATGAACAAACAAGATAAAATAGGGATGTTGTTGTGCTGTTAAGTGCTGTCCAGTCACAGGTGGCTCACAGCAACCCTATGAACGAACATCCTGGACATTTCAGTATAACTTTCGTCCTTTCTCCAGGTTCATAGAGTTTCCAGAGGCAAGCTATTGTGGAAGTGGATGCCACTCCTGCTTCCAAGCTTGTTTTAATTGGGAAGCATCACCAAACACCGTTCACCATGGGTAACCATTATCACATGTCAGTGTTCAGCTTCACAGCAACCACGAGTTACCTCTGTACAGCAAGTGGACCTCCTAAAACTTAAATTCTATGCTCACCAAAACCTTCACCAAGACAGACCCTACAAACTGGGAAGAAATTCTAGGCAATAATATTTGTTAAGGGTCTAACTTCTAAAATATCAATAGTGTAACAATTACAATCTAAACGCTCAAATATAAAAATATACAAACACCATGAACAGACACTTCACTGAAGAGAAGTGTAGCCAACACACACCAGAAGAGACGCTAGTGATTATTAGCCATTTTCATTTTCTCACAGTCCTTGAGCCTATTCCAACTCTCCATCAGGTTTCCAAGGCTGTACCTCTTAGCAGGAGATGGCCCATTCTTCTCCCAGGAATCAGCTGGTAGATTCGAAACACCGGAGAAGCATCGCCTTTTGGTTAGCAGTGCAACACTCTATGGACTATGCCACAAAGCTACCAATTAGAAAGATGCAAATCAAACTACAATGGTGATTGTTAACCCCAGGGAGACAGTCTTAAAAGAGTGAATCATAAAAGGTCAAGAAA